ATGAATACTATCTTGCAAACTAGCGTAAGAATATCCACCTTGTACCGGTGTAACGGAGATGCCGACACCTCCGTGCTCACTTCTCTTGATACCTTTCGGCTGCAACGGTGGATCAATAGCGACCATAATAACGCTGTGGCCATGCGCAAAACGTAATCCCGATAAAAAGATAAAATTATTTGACTAATAGATGATACACCATTACCTAAAACACTCTTGGTAAGTTTCATTAATTATAAACAAGCCATCAATAATATAAATCGGTACATAACACCCCTTTAAGACTGACTTCAGATATGTAGCCGACGCTAAGAAGTCCAAACATGGCCTTGATAGTTGAAAGCGGCACACGAACGAACGACAGCCACCATGACCAAAAACGAACAAACCAGGCGATGCATAGATAAAATCGTTTTCAAATCGTCAAAATGAACATCACACCGGTTTATACAAATGCAAAGCAAATTAGCGTCTAGACTTGCTTTGTAATATGCAGCGTGCGTGACACGATGCACTAGAAAAATATTGCACCCACATTAGTAAAATAATTAACATCAGGTCAAAACTTTTACGAAATTACCAGTTGATCTCAATATATAAACTTCATGAGTCGAAACATTTCTCATTAATTCTGGTACGTTCTTTGTGTCATAATCAACTCAACAGACCACTACAGGCAGTCTTCCAGTTTTGATCAGTATCAAGAACAATAGAAATTAACAGATTGCCCTATTAGAGCGATGGATGTTAACAGATTAACAGACTCAAAAAGAAGTTTAAAGATTGGATCTATAAGATCGATAGTTGTTTTTTACCGATTGTCAGTACTAAGATCGAGAGATATTAGCATATTGACAGTACTCTGGTACATAGAAATAAACAGACTGACAGTACTTCAGTAAATAAAAACCAATAGATACACATGTAGACAGTACGCGGGTAGATAAAAATCATTAGATTGACAGCACGAGGATTCAAATATCAAATGCAATGTAAACTATCTGTTAGTGTATGAAACCAGAAATAATTATTTTTGTTGAAGTCTTGTCTAACAAATTCGTCGGAAAAATATCTTAATCATATCTATAAAGATGGCATCATGTAATTTATATAGAATGTGATTGTTGGTTCGTGTCAACTTTGTCATAGGGTATTAAGTGTTGTGTGTAATCTTTATAATCACCTTTGAATATTAAACTTGAAATAACGGTGTCGTGTGCTTATATCATGCACCTTGTCAGTCAAAAATAAAATATGAGTATTTCTTTTCCTGGTAAACATTAATTGTATTAAATAGCTTTCAACACAAGGCATACGCAGGAAGTATTTCAACATCCGTACATTCATACACAACAAATATGAGTATTTCTTTCCTGAAAACATGAATTGTATTTCATAGCTTTCAACACAAGGCATACACAGGAAGTATTTCAACATCCATACATTTGTATACAACTAACACACAAGAAACAGTGAACCTGTTTATTACTCTTGTTAGTAACATATTTACTAGCATCAATACATTTGGCACATAAGGGGCTATTCACTCCAATGATTTAACTATCACATCTGTATTAAACTTGCATTTATGACAATATTTCGACTAAGTTAGACTCTGGAGGTATTGAGAGAAGCAGCTAAACTCTTAAAATGTCTTCGGAGAAGCATCTACACTGTCCAGGGGAAATGAGCAGCTAGGCTCTGAAAATGTCTCCGGAGAAGCGACAAGATTTTTGATTTGTGAACATCCCTGGAGAAGCCATGATGAGAGCAGCTAGACTCATGCGATACAAGAGAAGCCGCATCCCCTAACTTATATAAAACTATGTTGAGATTGGGGTAAATTCCCCTATAATTTACAGTCCTTGATTTAAAGCCAGATTAGAACTTAAAAGCAAGATATATAAGGTAAAATCTTCCATACAGTTTATTGAAAACCTACCTTGTGTTGAAAACTATCCTCTATACCAACCTACCTGAAATGAGTAGCCCGTACAACCTTAAGGATAGCAATAATACCTGCCACAGGCAAGTATGAATGGTACATATAATGACATTTGCACAAAGATTCAATCATGAATAAAAAAAAGGGAACAGCTGCTCATTACAAGGAAAACAACAAAAGATAATACATTTCATATTGGCAAACCTATATGCATATTCGAACTAGGCATGTAGCTGGGGATGGTTGGTGGGTACACCTAAACAACCGTGGTACACTGCAGCCTCCCCGGATGAAGGGGACTGTTACCATATTAAGAGACACATATAGGGGACAATGTGCTGCTCTGTGATTGGTCAGTTTTGCAGCAACTAATGACCATACCTTCATTAAAATAATCACCCAGCTCATGACTGATGAGCTGGATATAAACCATATTTTAATATTACATTAAATTAAACATCAAATTATCATTAAAAAGGATCGCAACATCCATACATAAAATTGCATGTACTAGTTTTACAAAATGCTATTTCAAGTATTGGTAAGTTAGTTTAGAGACTAATTGAATGCGCCGATTTATCTCAACTGTATTCATCAGTCCATGAACTTCCAAAATATATCTCAAATGTCGTTCAAGCAATTTAATTTTGTTTTAGATTATCATCAGCCTTGTATAATAATTAATTATTAGTTTTCATGTAAAAAGAGAAACTAATGAGGTGTTGTCAGTTTTTAAAATTTCAGCATTTTTCTGTATTCAAAGAAATTATACCCTTAATGAATATTTTTTACTTAGACTTTTAAATGTTAATATACTGAGTTATGGATTCGTTTTATAGTTTATGAAACGTGACAAATAAAACAATTTTACCCAAAACGTATGTACTGTATTATTTCTGTGGTATAAATTAAGTGTATTAACGTTTTTCCGTTTGTACACTTAAATACCGAAAATTGTTTTGAAATTTGAGACTTAATATTGATCTGGAATAAATACGATTCTAACATTATAACTGTTGATCTGAGCTCCAGAAATACTTGAAATCCATAATACAGCAGAAACTATTGACTATTTGAACTTAAGTTTAGATTGTTTAAATAACAAGAGCCCAATGGGCCTGCATCGCTCACCTGTTATTAATCTAACACTTGTAATCTTAAGATTTCATAAGAACCTATTAAAAGATTTAAACATATGACGCCTCTGACCTTGTTGTCGAACAAGGACATTAGGTTGAAAGTGGATCAAGGTCATTCATTTGAACTAAAATGGTAGTCCTTCATCCCAGCATGCTACAGGCCAAATTTCAGTACCATGGCCCTTTTTGCTTATTGAAAAGAAGTCGCTTGAGGATTTTACGACATTTGACCCCTGTGACCTTGAAAATTGGTCAAGGTCATTCAGTTGAACAAACTTGATAGTCCTTCATCCCAGCATGCTACAGGCCCAATATCAGTACCTTGGCCTTTTGGTTATTGAGAAGAAGTCGTTTGAAGATTTTACGACATTAGACCCCTGTGACCTTGAAAGTTGGTCAAGGTCATTCATTTGAACAAACTTGGTAGTCCTTCATCCCAGCATGCTACAGGCTGAATTTCAGTACCCTGACCCTTTTGGTTATTGAGAAGAAGTTGTTTGAAGATTTTAAGACATTTGACCACTGTGACCTTGAAAATTGGTCAAGGTCATTCATTTTAACAAACTTGGTAGCCCTTCATCCCAGCATGCAACAGGCCTAATATCAGTACCCTTGGCCTTTAGGTTATTGAGGAGAAGTTGTTTGAAGATTTTAACATATTTCAACCCCTGTGACCTTGAAAGCTGGTCGAGGTCATTTATTTGAACAAACTTGGTAGCCCTTTATCCCAGCATGCTACAGGCCCAATATCAGTACACTAGGCCTTTTGGTTATTGAGAAGAAATCGTTTGAAGATTAAAGACTTCTGACCCCAGTGACCTTGAAAGTGGGTCAAGGTCATTTGTTTGAACAAACTTGGTACCCCTTCATCCCAGTATGCTACAGGCCCAATATCAGTACCCTGGGCCATTTGGTTATTGAGAAGAAGTTGTTTGAAGATTTTAAAGACATCTGACACCAGTGACCTTGAAAGTGGGTCAAGGTCATTCATTTGAACAAACTTGGTAGCCCTTCATCCCAGCATGGTACAGGCCCAATATCAGTACCCTGGGCCTTTTGGTTATTGAGAAGAAGTTGTTTGAAGATTTTAACATATTTGACCCCTGTGACCTTGAAAGTGGGTCAAGGTCATTTATTTGAACAAACTTTGTAGCCCTTCATCCCAGCATGCTACAGGCCTAATATCAGTACCCTGGGCCATTTGGTTATTGAGAAGAAGTTGTTTAAAGTAAAAAGTTGACGCCGGACAGACGGACGACGGACGACGGACGACGGACGGACGGACGGACGGACGACGGACTCCGCACCATAACATAAGCTCACTTGCCCTTCGGGCAGGTGAGCTAAAAATGGGCTTATTTTCCTTATACTATTCACAGGAGCTACCTAGTATATCTTCCTTCTGCTCACAGATTAATAATTTTTGGTTCGAGTTTCAGTTTTGCTCGAGATTCAGTATTTTCCTTTCTGGTTTTAGTGCGAAACAAGCTTTGGTGTGTAACTTAGTTTGTGATCTGTTTTTGGCTAAAAGTTGTACATTTGTAACGATATAAGGGGTCCTAAAGGCACCCTTTCCCGCATGGTATATTTCTTTGTAAAAGATACATCAGGTGGGTTTTTTTGTCCCTCGCTTTAGCATCTCAATGTACGAAAAGGTAAGATAGTGTGGTAAATACTTTCTTTGTTTTTCTTTCTGAACTGACTTGCTAAAATTGTTTATATGTACATTCTTACTTCGTTTTTGTAGCAATTTCCAATATAAAGAAATGTCATTAATTGTGCCAATATTTTTCGATGTTTATACCCTGTTTTTCAGCTTGAATAACTAATTTACTTCATTGATTTCATAGAAATGACGGCGGCCAGTCTGCACACTGGTTTTCCCAGAAATGATCAAGTACATGTATAAAAGGCGATCTCCGTATGTTTATGTTTATATTTCTCTCGTCTAGGGTGTTTAAACGCCAAGGCCAGAACTGAAGCCGAGGTAAGTAGGGCTTTATTTTATACAGCATTCATCATGATTGTTTCCTGAGATACTAGAATAGATAAAGTTAATTTTTTGGGCACCTGAGCTTTGCTCAAGTGACTTATTCTGATCGTTTTCCGTCCGTTGTCGTGCGTCGTGCATAATGTTTCTGACATTTTTGGCTTCTTCGCAAGAACGAATGAATGTCTTTCCATCAAACTTTGAAGGGACCATCCTTGGTGGAAAAGGGTATCAAAATGTAAAATAGTGATGCCTGCCCGAACTCAGGGGCCAGAGTGGGGCCTTAAAGGGAAGATTAATCAATATTTCAATCAAAGTACTGAAAGTACTCCAGACAATGCTTTCTTGATGTTGTAATATTTCCATAGTTATATAACATTTAAGGAAAAAAGAACACAGTACAGTCAGCTGTGATGCAGGATAAAACCATTAAAATTTGAAACTGATGTAAACTGATATATATTCTTATTTAAGGTCGGTGTTGGCAATAGTCTGAAATGCATTTTCCTCAAGGAGCTTTGACCAACAAAAGTACTGCTTCAAGTGGCTTTTGGCTCTGCTTCTGGCATATGACTGTTGCAATATCTCCTTAGTGCCTATTGGTAGAGGGGTAAACATATATTTCCTACAGACAAGCAGCAGTGCACGTGTGTCAAAAATGTCTTTAGGTCAACTAGGATCTCGCCATGTGTCATATGTCGGTACACACTTCTCCGTATGATTATGTCAATGGTAACAGTATGAAACTTAAATCAATTCCCCATAGCAAACAAAGAGGAGTGAGTTCAATCACTTGCACCACATGTACTTGTTACCTATAGTGTAATTGCTGTATTCCCCAAGCGGAGCGCGAATTCAATCTTTATCATAAAGTCCCCAATCCTTCATCACTGTCCTCATTTAGATATATATTTTCAAACAGGTGGCAATATTCAGCTTCAACATACAACAGACAATTAGGAAAGTGACTAAGTGGGGTGGGGGCTATGACCTGAACTAGAAGGGAGGTCTCCCTCAAGGAAAATTTTGAATTTTTGATGCGAGATCTTTACGAGACAAAACAGTGTACAGGAACACTGCGTTATTAAATTGAATAAATGTGTAACAAGTTCGAAACAAACATGTCTTTTAATTCCTGCCTTGAACACACCGCATCTTGTTTCAAAAGTACTGATAAAATATCTTATGTTGTACACGTTTAATTGATATGACATCGCACGCCATATTTTGCCGGTCATAATCTATAAACAATCCATATATAGTATCCAATATTATGTGTATTACTTGTCTACAATTATAGTGCGGAAGCCCTATTTCCTGTTAGCTGAAAGGGTCATCTTGACAAATGTGTTGCAAAACAGGCACAGAACAATAGGTCAATTTCATCTGAATCTGACTAATTGGGTTAGTATTCCGTCTGAGGGAGATAAGGTTTTGCAAGAAATACATGTAAACAGCGGCGGTGAAAAAAAAAATAGAATTGAATTCAACCTGAGAAGAGCGACCATGATTTACACAAAATACTCACGAACCAAAAACAAAACACGACGAAGAAAGATGATCGTATCCTTTTGTATTGACGTTGTGGTATTTACAAAACGACACGATTGATACCTCCATGTATTGCGCAGTTTGTTTTGAAAAAGCTGGCTATATAATAAATTTTTTTTAATTAAATGTACTATTGAACCTCATTTGTCCAGAATAGAGTCCATATGTTATAAACAAAACTGTTTATGTTATAAATTTAAATCAAAATTAGAAGGATTACCCATAGAATATTTTAGGACACAAAAAACCCACTGCCAAAATGTATTTGAAATAGATTATATGATACTGTTAAGTATCCTCTAATCTCTACATGCCTTCAACTTTGGACTTTCAGCATCGTATACATCGTACAAGTGTCTTGCACCTATGAAGATGAAGTTTGTTTACGCATTGTTGCTGTTTATGCTAGTTGCAGTGTGGGCTCATACTGGTAAGTGTTAGTAGGGGATATGTCAAGGGTGGTAAAGATTAAGAGTTAACACTGTTATAGTCCTTGAACAAGTCACCTACAGTGCTAACATTATAATAATAAAAAAAATGTCACGATAATTAAATCATGATAGATGTGCCCTGTTGACGAATAAGTTACGTAGACATGGTCCTCTATCAGAGAAGTTTCAATCTCCACTTCAATCTTTACAGTCGTCATCATGATTTGATATTCGGTTTTGAAATAACACTATCTATCATAAAGAAAGACATATTCACCTTGTCACGGATATTTGATGGCCGATATATACATACTCTCCAGCATTATACTGGTAATATATCATGATGAGAGCATGGAAGTTTGCTCCCTCAAGATCACTTTAATTCGCCTCAATTTTATTCTAGGACTTCATGATGACCTTCCGGTGCCGTTTCTTTTCATGACTCGTTCGTACCTATTTTGACTTTTATATCGAGTTTGCATTCCATTCTTGTTTCTTTGTGCTTAATGTAGTGAATCGTATTAATTGAAAGCAGACTGGTAAAAACTGAAGTGTGTTACATCAGAAAACTCTTTCATAAACTTCTTAATTTGAATAAGTTGTTTGGATGAGTGTTTATATTTACATTTGCTCTGCATCCTTCCATTGCAATGCAAATTGAGGTCAAATGTTGTTATGAGACTATAGCAACATTTGCTACTGTAACGTTATCAATCTCTATTGTGACGTCATCAATTTCATTGTTGTCAACACTTAATTTGCTGTTCAAAGAACAAATAACTACTCTATCAAAATATAAATATAAATAATGTGTATTTTAGCAAACATTGTTATGGTCCTATAACACACATTTCTATTGCTGGGCTTTATTAAGTTTGTCATTATGTCAATAGCAAATGGGTGTTATAGAACCGTAACAACATTTGCTAAAACATTCAATGCTTAATTATACCTACACGTTGATCAACAAGTTTTACCTTTTATTGTTATAGATTACAGCGAGTCTGATGATGACGATGACGGTAGAAGTGTCACAGCGGTTCAGAAAGCAAGACTTATGACAGGAGACATATCACCAAGTAAGCATGTTTCTTTTGCTTTGAATATTTGATATGGAATAAACCATAGCTATAAACAGTTGGTAATAAGGAAATTAAGAAAGGCGAGTAACAGTGGGGTTTAAAAAGAAGGGATCATGAAACATTTAGAAATGTGAGTTGCAGTAAAATTCATTTTCTGTTAGGTTAAATCACCGATAATAAGATTTCTAAAAAGTATCCCTCAGCGGAATTTAGGATACGTATGCATATTATAATCCATGGAAAAGTAGGCAAAATGAAGTCTAAGAGATGTAAGTGTGGTGTGAGCTACGCACTAAAAAAGAGTAAATAGTGTGAAGTCAAAGAACAGTTAATTGTGATCAAAACAGCAATTTTCATTTTTAGAAGAGTTCCTATTGTAAATCCTTTAAATGTATTATATGGGAATACAGTTTTATGACTATTAGACAAATTTTAACGTTTTCACAATCCCATTTATATTAGAAAAAAATATGTATCTGATTTCCCAGTAACGTTTACAGTGAGCAATATTGATTGCCAGTGGTGCTAGAATGGCCAAGCTAGGAAATCCGTACGGTTCGATTTATTCGTCATCTTTGTTGACATTGTTGACATCAATCTTAGTCCGAGTTGGTAAGTATATTGTTATCCAAAAAAAATATAAAGGTATAAACCCCATGTTTGCCCCAGTTTGAATTCCTCGTTTGTTATTTATATTCAAATGAAATTGACATTACCTCGAATAACACATAGAATGTCACTCTCAACTTTAATAACAACGGGCAGACTTAAATTAAGGCTTGGTCATCCTCTAATGAATGTAGTGTCTTCCGAATAAATACTCTTAATTGAAAGTGTAAATAAATAAAAGAAGAAGTAGGTGGAGGAAGTCCAGGAGAAAGGAAGGGGAAGAGAAAGAAGAAAAAGGGAGTGGAAAAAAAAGAAGAAGAATAAAATATATGATAGATTGAAGATATGCGTGGTTATAAAAGAACATAAAAAGAAAGACTATAGTCACCCGATAGCCAATGCTCATAACATTAAAGCACTTTAAAGTACTAGTTGCCGTAAAGTGTCATCCAGGTCTTGGCTAAACCGTGTTCTATATTATTTAACCATTAAAACATATTTGTACATTCTTTATTCACAAAGAATTTGTTGAAAATACACCTATTCAAAAGAAATTCTGCAAGCCCTTTTCTTAATACATTTGTACGTAAATTATATTTCTTTATGATTAGCCTTTTGCTGAGGATAAGGCTTGGAAGTAAATTACATATGAGTTTATATGGTTTATCATAGGATTGGCCTGTTGGCAAGGACAACGTATATGTACGGGTATTCCAGTTTATTGTCAATTTATGCCTTATCAAATACAGGAACATTATCTAATGCTTAAAATTGATAAAACTCTCTTCTCTTTTCAGATAACAACGATGAGAATCGAATGGTCACAAAGGTTCGAAGAAAGAGAGGATTTATTCGTAGCTTAGGTAAGAAACTGAAAAAAAATAGGGGACCAGCTGTAATACCATTTTTAAAACATAAAATCGATACATACTGAAACGTCTCAAATTGGTTCTTTTTTCACCATTAAAAAGTCTAAGGCGGCTTGTACTGACATTGATTTGTCATGCTTAGAACAATACTAAATAGAAGTACCAGCGGTAACTGCAATACATCCATATATTCATGAAAATTTTGCACTGACTTATCTAAGGGATTGATCATTTCCTATAATGACAATATTAAGGATCGAGTATAGGATTGGTTGACTATCTCATAGATTAATCATCTCACGGATCACATATAACTTGAATTAATTTATCTCTAACAGATCGATTTTTCTTACGGTTCAACCATTTAATTAATTAACAGCTTCAATATTAGACATTTTCAATGTTTGACTTCCTCCTGTATTGATCATCTAATAATAAGCCAAAATAAACAACTTTATAATGGCATGTTTTATTCGTTGACATATCATCTGTTATTTAAAATCACTGTTACTCGTAATAAATAGGAATTTCTACTTAATTTCGGCACTTTCCAGCGTCAACAAAATTATTTCCTGATCATTATGAAAAATAATGTCTCATAAGATAAAATACCGGCGGGAATCCCATTAGGTTTTTATTATGATTATTTTCAAAGTCATATTTCTCTGGTGTGTACTTGACTATGTAGATTTCTTCGTGTGTATCTGTCTACTTAAAATAAATCTTACTTTGAAATGAACAGTAAGTACATTGGATAATTACTTTAAAGGTACATAATTGAATGAAACCAAGATATATTATTAAATATATATTATGACAATTATCATCTGAAAATACCGTATATATCGTTTTATATCAGTTTGCCTCTTATATTTAAAAGTGTTACTATGAATAATTATTTTAATTCTACTTCCAATTGAAAAAAAATGCTAAACGTCGGCAAAATCATATCAGTTGTATGTAAAGGTACATGAGAGAAAATAAAGTTGCCGAAAATACAACGCTCTTTTTAGAAACAATCGTACTTTATTTGTAATAGCTATCTTATGAACTCTTTTATAAGGGAAGAAATCAAAGAGGAAAGGAAGAGGGGAGAAGGGGGAAGACGACGATGACAACGATTCCAGTTACGACGACGACGACGATGGTTTCAGTTGGTTTGGGTCAGGGACATCGTCCTACAATGCGACAAGGAATCTGTTCATCGTCCTGGCCTTGTTGGCTTTGCAGTGCATAATGTAATGGATAAGCGAACTTTTCTGAGTTTTTTCAAACCCCTAGTCGCTGCATGGGTTTGATCTGGCCTCAGACCACAATTAATTTCCCTATATGTTATAACCAAAGAAAAACCCTTTAAACAATGTTATATAATTTTGCTTGAGACCTGATCTTTATATAGGTTTTGTTCAGCTATCTAAGACACATTTGTGGTGAGATGGAAAAGTATTCATAACCGACATTTTTTAAAGATTATTTTACGTATGTGTCAACATATAACCCCGCTATACTATGATATGACCCTGAAATTCATGCGCAGGTGCCTGACAACATACAACATCTTTCCGCCTAAATTAATTTCACACAAATTAATCAACCAAGTTAATTATAGGGGAAAAAGATCATGCTTCATTTTGGTATGACATATGGTTTTATTTTATTCACATGGAAGAAAGAATAAATTCATTTAAAAACGACCCCAAAATTGATAAATGCACTACATTCATGCACAACGAACCGGAAACATTAACTGTGGTCTGAGGCCATCTGTAAACACTTGTCCACTTCCGATGTTTCCCCATTCCTGCAAGCCTTCTGGGAAATTGAGGCCGCATACCATACTATCTAACTCAGTTTAACAAACATGACTTACACATATATACTTTGTGTATTACAACTTCAGCAAGTTAAAGTGTAAATTGAGTGTTTCATTCTATTTTATTTTCATCTTAATATCTGGGAGATTGTTTTAATGAAACTTATTGACATTAGTTAATCAATAAGTAAACGTTGGATTAAATGGAGGGACAGTTTTACGATATTTCCACTTAATGAATAACACGGATATTGTTATACGATAGCCTTGTGATGACAGAGAGGATGTCTTGGGTGTAATTATGAGCACTGACGGGGATAAGGATCATGATGCTTCTCATACCAACCCTTTCCTCGGAACTCTCACTAGATTTACCAAAGTATAATCTTACATTTTTTCATCATTGCCTTTTTGTTTGAATAGCAATAACTATGTACTAATGTTGTATCTTATATATTCTGAAAGTGTAATCGTTACATCACGTTGCATCACATGATATTTTTTTTATTTTATTTTTTTAATATTTGTTTATTTTCAAAGTATTTTTCACATAACAGTAACATATACATTTCATTATACATAATGAATTCCACTTTCACACATACTTTCATACTAATTAATATTGCTCTTTTTGTAAGTGGTATTTTATTTTATTGTAATGTTATATTAGAAAGGAAGGAAAATCAGAAAAGAGAAACAAGAAAACAAAGAAATAGAGGAAATAAAGATAGGTAATTGGACAGAAAGAAAGACAGACAGACAGACGGAAAGATAGACAGACAAGGGGAGAAGTACCAGTATTAAACAAACCAATTTAAAGGACATGATAAAATCTTGGCTATTCATGACCACTGGCTGTTAATTAGGGCTATTCAATATTGTCCAATATGTCAGTGCCAAAAATGTAGAACATTTGGTTGTCTTTGGCAAAAAGCTACAAATTACAATTTGTTCTTAGATGTTTATAGTTTCCTTAGAAGGCACTACTATAAAATATATATATATATATTAACATTGTTTTGCTTTATAAATTCACTGAAATTTTATCATGAGATGTACTAAATAATTTTTACCTTCTCATTTGGCAACAGTGTTTGTACAGTGTTGCTTTAACAGTGCTCCTATAGTATTGTTCAAATTTGTATTATTAGCTTTACTTGGTGGCACAGTCGCTTAACACTTTACAGCAATACTGCATTAGCATTCCCCAAGATATGGCATTCATGAATAGGTAACCATAATCCAGCTGTCATGCTTAATGTAATATATAATGTTAGAAGTAGAGACATGTTTGACCACAAGTTTTTAAATCATTTTTCATTAGATTAATGTTAAGACATGATAAAAGTGTCAATTATATAACATTTAATATAGATGTATAAAGCAGAAATAAATATTTGAAAAATCAATTTTCCCTGGAAACATTTGGTATAAATTTTAATAAAGTGTGAGCAAACCAATTATGTGTTATTGGTTTTTAATGGCAGGGAGAAATTAAAATAGAATGTCTCATGGGGAGAATTCAGAGTTTAACTCATTCACCCCTGAAATTTCATAATTAACTATTCCAACCTTTGAATTGGAAGAGTTCAAATGTGTCTTCAGGGGTGAATGAGTTAAAGCATATTTACGTGAACATTGGTAGAATTACTATATATATCTATCCACTGACAGGATATCATTTGGAACAGCAACTTTATGAGATATACTACGTTTTTAATAAGATATGTGATTGAGTTTTGAGTTCAAAGTCATTAATCAGTCAATCATTTATCAGTGGATCATTAATCAGTAAATCATCAATCAGTCAAATATGAATCAGTCAATCATTTATCAGTCCAAAAAAGAAATCAGGCAATCAGTAGTTACCAAACATTAATTAATCAATCATTTATCGGTCCTAAAAAGAAATCAGGCAATCAGTAGTTACCAAACATTAATTAATCAATCATTTAACAGAGTGAAGCTAATAAGGCATGACAAGTTGACTTTGCATTAAAAGAACCAGCAAAACATTTTCTTTTAAAAGAGATATTAATTATTTTGAGCCATCCCCTGTCCAAAGTATATACTTGCTGAGTTAGAATTGGAGACTCTGATAACGTACACAACTTTTTATGATTGACCTTCTGTTAACAAGGGTAAAGAAAGAACATTTTTCTTGCATCGATTGATGGTTCTTTACATGTAGTCAACTTGAAGATAATATGAAAGTAAAGAAAGTAAATATATAGGGTAACAGTTGTCATTGTTAAAACGTTTTTAAAACATTTGTTACCCAGTGTGTAATGGTATACACACGTTTTTTTTTTTATCTATGTATATATTTGTAGTAGCTATTTTAAATAATTGAACTCATTTCCTTTGAAAGTTTGGGGAAAGGACAACCTTGATAACATGATTATATCACATTACTGCATGTATGTATTTTATTTACTGTACTTTTCATCACATTAAAAAAATCATTTTTCAAAGGTTGTTAATATTATTCCTATACAGCTTCATTAGCCAACTAAATATTACTGTTTTGTCAGCTCAAAGTGCCAAGTGAGCTGAATACGAATATTAGTCAACAAGAACACTGACAGATCAGCAACGGCTTGCCATAACCCATATCCCCCCAAGACTTGTTTTAGTGCCAGTTCTCTTGACTTTCACCTTAAAATCCTTTAAACCCCTGTTGCACATCTACATATCACAGTGCATCATCGTGTCAAATTTCAAAAGAATAAGTCTTTTGGATTTTCAGATAATCACAGAGAAATTATCCGGAAACAAAAGTGTGGAAGGCTGGCCCGACGGACAGACACTGATTACTATAGGGCACCGGTTTGCATGTGGGGCCCTTATATAAGATAAGAGGCCCAGGGGGCCTGTATCACTCCGCTGTTTCTTTTGTTACATGAAACTGACATATACATTGTAGGTAACTTCAGACCAAATTTGGTAACTAGAACACAAGACATTTTAACATCTCTTAAACGGTTCTTCAGATATTGTTGTTTGAGATTTAAAATTTTAACTCTTAAGCTTTTAACCAATGGTGACCGTTGACTCCTGACTAGCACTTAAAGTTGACCTTTGACCTCATTACTGTAATAAAGAAAACGATTCACACAGCTGTTCTATATAACATACCAAGGTATCATAACTCTAGACCAAATGGTTCTTAAGATATTGTTGTTTGAACTTGGAAAAAGTCTATGTAAACCATCTCCAAGTAACATATAGTGCTATCAAATTACCTTGAACCAATTTCGATGTCATTTTGGGTCCAATGATTTAAATTGACTTTGAAAGTGAGTCAAGATTATTTTTCTAAACATATTGGATAGCCCTAATCCCTGCATGCTAAAGGCTAAGTATAATGAACCATGGCTTCTTGGTTTCTCAGAAGTTGTTTTAAGATTTTAACACATTTGACCGCAGACACTTTGAAAGCTGGTCAAGTTTGTCCTTTAGAACAAAATTGATGACCCTTCAGCCCAGCATAATACTGGCCAAAACAACCACAACTTAGGTTTTTTGTTTATTACAAAAACCAGATATATATGACAGATGTCACACTATGGCATACACTAATTACTTGCTTTTCAGACAGGTGACCAACAGACTGACACACTAGCTGATGATGTTGAATGTTTTGGAAATAAGTATTTTGAAGAATGACTGTACATGTGGAGAGCATGTGTGAATAATTGCAAATAATGATAAGTATTTCACATATATAAAAACAGTCACATAGATTTCAAGAGAACGTGCACTTACAAATAGACTTTATTTATCAAAATACTAAATGACCCCAAATACAGGTAAGACACTTTGCGGGGAACCCAGGATCAAATTGTATCAGTGGTTAACACATAACACATTTTTCAAAATTTTAAATAAGATTTCTGCTTAAATTGATTTGTTTTATTTTTATTTATCTGATGTTGATTTTGTTTGAGGCCCAGAATAGCATGTAGGTCATAATCATTAATTAGAAATTATCAATTTAAATATATTTCAAACAATTTGATAATAGAAATTTGATACAACTGAGCCCACATAAGGAACACCTACCTGAATAAGGACACAAACTGATGGGAAAAGACATTTAAAACAAAGCAATGACATTGCACAGATCCCAGTAAATTGTTTAATTAAACATAAATATATATTGCACACACTTATACATACTGACTCACTTAAGGCTGTACGCTACTTTACTGTGACAGTCATATACTTTACAAAAGAGTTCCAGACAGGACACATTTAAATGTCAAACAAGAATGATAATTTTGCTAATTAAAGAAATAGAGGCATAAAAATCGAATACAAATCAAAGGTAGAATCTAGAAGGTAGCATATATCCTTAACTCTTACACAAATTACAAGTATAAGACGTAATGTAGCATGTATCCTTAACTCTTGCTCACATCACAGGTATATTGTGTTCGATAGCATGAAATCTTAACTCTTAACAGGTGTATAACAGAAAATGTGGACTCCTTGTGGAAACCAAAGTGTCAAAAAGGAATGTTCCGAAGCATCTATCATGCAAAATAATTCAAAGAGATTGAGTAAAACCTAAAATATATACCGGGTTTTTTTTCCATGGGAGGAATAGAACAAGAGGCCCATAGTTAGTCAGGGGTTATATTTATATACAATTGAACAAAACTTGTCATTCCTACAGGAAAAGGAGGATTTTGAAGAATTTGCTATGTTTCCCCTATTGGGCCCCGCCCCTCTGCCCCCAGGGGGTCAGACCCACCATTGATACAAAATAATTCCCCTGAACCCAAGGATGCTAATCTATTAAGACCATATATGGACAGAAGAAGGATTTATATTTTGTTTTTCTATTTTCCCTATTTGGCCCCACCCCTCTGCCCCCAGGGGGTAAAGACCCACCATTGATACAAAATTAATTCCCCTTAACCCAAGGATGCTAATAAGACCATATATGGACAGAAGAAGGATTTTTTTTCTTTTCTATTTTCCCTATTTGGCCTCGCCCCTCTGCCCCCAGAGAGTAAAGACCCACTGTTAAAACAAAATTGATTTCCCTTCCCCATAGGATGCAGCTGTTCAAATTTAGTCAAAATACCCTCATCCAAACAGCAGAAGATGGATATTAAAGCTATTCCTTTATATCCCATATTAGGCCTCGCATCACTGCCACAAGGGGGGTCAGACCCACCATTTATACAAAATTGGTTCCCCTTCACCAAAGGGTGCTTCATACCAAATTTGGTTTCCCCAGATTTGTGACTTGTGAAAACCATGGTTACCACATCCAAAAAACGCCAAAAAACAACAAAAAATGCATAAATACATGATTTTTAACCAAACATTTGATCCACGCAAGTAGATTTTTTTTCTTAAAATCTGTCTTAACTTAAATATCACCTACTCGGTAACAGAAATACTCACGTTTTAGAATAGGTCGTCCAACTGGATTTTCCTATGTTTCCCCTATTGGGTCCCACTCCTCTGCCCCTAGGGAGGCCATACCCACCGATTATACAAAATTGAGACCCCTTGGCCTATAAGGATGCTCCAGACCAAATTGGGATGAAATCCCTTCATCCCTATGGTAGAGGAATGATTTTAAAGGTTTTACCTCTATTTCCCCTATGGGGCCCCACTTCTCTGCCCCCAGGGAGGGGGGGGGGGGCACACACACCGTTTATACAAAATTGAGTCCCCTTGGCCTAAGAATGTACATACCAAGTTGGGATAAAATCCCTTAATCCCTATGGTAGAAGAAGGATTTTAATTAAAATCCACTAAGCCATTCAGGACTAGTAGCGTTTTAAAAGAAAAGTTGACGGACGGACGGCGGACGACGGACACTGTGCCACGGCATATAAGCTCACTTGCCCTTCGGGCAGGTGAGCTAATAACCTTCTATTTGAAATAAAGATAATCCAATCACTCATTGAAAACAGTGGAGTTAGTGTCATTGTGAAAGTTTTCTTGAAGAAGAACTCATCGTAAATTCTTGGAGATGTAACGTTTGTAGAATCTGATTTGGTCCTTTGAAGGGTTAGTTGCGCCTTTCTTTCCACACATGACGTTTTTTTGGTACAGCAGCTGGTCTTGTTTATTGACTGGTGGGGGTTCCACTTCATAGCTACTGCCTAGCTTGAACACACTGGCTACATCTCTTAAACAACCAAGAAAACAGGTCACAACATTTAATACATACATTAATAATTATTTTCATCACATTTGCACATGACTTCACAGTAACATTCCTTGTGACAATAAAAAAGAGGTGATTTTAAAACATATTAAACACAAATCTCGATCCTACTTCACTACGAAATAACTTCATGCCCATGACCCAGTTACACCCAACTTACATGTCAATCACCCAAAACTTAATCTGAATGACCCTATGACCAACAACTTACATTTCAATACCCTGTTACCAACAACTTACAAATCAATGACCCTGTTACTGCAAATGGTCCTGTTACAAAGTACAACTTACATTTCAATAACCCTATTACCCATAACTAACAAGTCAATGACCCATTACCCATAACTTACATGTCCATAACCAGGTTACTCACAACTTGCACGTCAATGAGTATTACCCATATCTTTAATAGTCAATAACCCTGTCTCCCATAATTTCCATATGAATAACCCTATTACCCATAACTTACATGTCAATAACCCTGTTACCCATAATTTACAAAAATGTGCATGTCAATGACCCAATTTCCCATAATTTACATGTCAATAACCCTGTCATCCATACCTTACATGCTGATTACCCTGTTACCCATAATTTACATGTCAATGACCCTGTTACAATCAAATTATATGTCAATAACCAGCTGTCTCCAACAATTAAATGTGAATGACGTTTGCAATTGCAGTTTACAAGTTTATATCACTGTCATCAAAAACTTACATATCAATGACCCTGTTACACCTATTGGCCAAATCCCTGTTCATGAAGCGAGTATCTGGCAGGTCAGCATTCCCCAGGCAGGCACGGCCAAGATTCACATATCTGTAGAGTAGAGGACACACTTTTAACCATTTCAGAATTTGTTTTAAAATTCCATATTGATAACGAATGATCATTATTCAACATAAGAGGCATGTTGCAGGAAATAATGGCTTGATGAGAATGATAAATCTGACTTAGCAATAGAGAATATCTTATCTGGTATTTTCTCTGACTTAGCAATAGAGAATATCTTATCTGATATTTTCTCTGACTTAGCAATAGAGAATATCTTATCTGGTATTTTCTCTGAATAAGCAATAGAGAATATCTTATCTGATATTTTCTCTGACTTAGCAATAGAGAATATCTTATCTGGTATTTTCTCTGAATAAGCAATAGAGAATATCTTATCTGATATTTTCTCTGACTTAGCAATAGAGAATATCTTATCTGGTATTTTCTTTAACATTGTTCGTAACTGGGGCATTATGTGTCATACTTGATTACAACAGAGGAACTACATTAGGACCCTGTTCACGTTTATACGTTCATACATCTCACTCATCCTTTACACTGTTCATGCCTACAATACTACCTTTTATACTTGTTCATGTCAGATGTGCGTGGTTCTCCGAGATGGAATCCATAGTCTCTTAATATCTCCAGTCTTCTTTTCCTCTGCAGCTCCTACAGTATCAGTTATTATCATTTTACTTATTTCAAGCTCAGCTCAAGGCACTCCAAGTGAGGGAGGCTAACAGAATCTTATGTTACTATGTGAAGAACACTTCTAGAATGTAACAACCCTATGTGATGGAGGCTAACAGAATCTTACACCCTCATGTGATGGAGGCTAATAAAATCTAAAACCTCCATGTGATGAAGGCTTATAGAATCTTACACCCCTATGTGATGGAGGCTAATAGAATTTTACCCCCCCATGTGATGGAGGCTAATATAATCTTACACCCCTATGTGATGGCATGGAGGCTAACATAATCTTACACCCCTATGTGATGGAGGCTAACAGAATCTTACACCCTCATGTGATGGAGGCTAATATAATCTAAAACCTCCATGTGATGAAGGCTTATAGAATCTTACACCCCCATGTGATGGAGGCTAACAGAATCTTACACCCCTATTTGATGGAGGCTAACAGAATCTTACACCCCTATGTGATGGAGGCTAACAGAATCTTACACCCTCATGTGATGGAGGCTAATATAATCTAAAACCTCCATGTGATGAAGGCTTATAGAATCTTACACCCCTATGTGATGGAGGCTAATAGAATTTTACACCCCTATGTGATGGAGGCTAATAGAATCTTACACCCCCATGTGATGGAGGCTAATATAATCTTACACCCCTATGTGATGGCATGGAGGCTAACATAATCTTACACCCCTATGTGATGGAGGCTAACAGAATCTTACACCCCTATGTGATGGAGGCTAATAGAATCTTACACCCCCATGTGATGGAGGCTAATAGAATCTTACACCCCTATGTGATGGAGGCTAATAGAATCTTACACCCCTATGTGATGGAGGCTAATAGAATCTTACACCCCTATGTGATGGAGGCTAATAGAATCTTACACCCCTATGTGATGGAGGCTAATAGAATCTTACACCCCTATGTGATGGAGGCTAATAGAATCTTACACCCCTATGTGATGGAGGCTAATAGAATCTTACACCCCTATGTGATGGAGGCTAATAGAATCTTACACCCCTATGTGATGGAGGCTAATAGAATCTTACACCCCTATGTGATGGAGGCTAATAGAATCTTACACCCCTATGTGATGGAGGCTAATAGAATCTTACACCCCTATGTGATGGAGGCTAATAGAATCTTACACCCCTATGTGATGGAGGCTAATAGAATCTTACACCCCTATGTGATGGAGGCTAATAGAATCTTACACCCCTATGTGATGGAGGCTAATATAATCTTACACCCCTATGTGATGGAGACTAATATAATCTTACACCCCTATGTGATGGAGACTAATATAATCTTACACCCCTATGTGATGGAGACTAATAGAATCTTATACCCCTATGTGATGGAGACTAATAGAATCTTACACCCCTATGTGATGGAGACTAATATAATCTTATACCCCTATGTGATGGAGACTAATATAATCTTACACCCCTATGTGATGGAGGCTAATAGAATCTTACACCCCTATGTGATGGAGGCTAATAGAATCTTACACCCCCATGTGATGGAGGCTAATAGAATTTTACACCCACATGTGATGGAGACTAATATAATCGTACACCCCTATGTGATGGAGGCTAATAGAATCTTACACCCATTTGTGATGGAGACTAATAGAATCTTATACCCCTATGTGATGGAGACTAATAGAAGCTTACACACCTATGTGATGGAGGCTAATAGAATCTTACACCCCCATGTGATGGAGGCTAATAGAAGCTTACACCCCTATGTGATGGAGGCTAATAGAATCTTACACCCCCATGTGATGGAGGCTAATAGAATCTTACACCCTTATGTGATGGAGGCTAATATAATCTATTAGCCTCCATCACATGGGGGTGTAAGATTATATTAGCCTCCATCACATAGGGGTGTAAGATTCTATTTGAGGCTAATATAATCTAACACCCCTATGTGATGGAGGCTAATATAATCTAACACCCCCATGTGATGGAGACTAATAGAATCTTACAACTTCATGTGATGGAGGCAAATAGAATCTTAAACTCCCATGTGATGGAGGCTAATCAAATCTTACACCCCCATGTGATGAAAGCTAATAGAATCTTACACTTCCATGTGATGGAGGCTAATAGAATCTTACACCCCTATGTGATGGAGGCTAACAGAATCTTACACCCCTATGTGATGGAGACTAATATAATCTTACACCCCTATTTGATGGAGACTAATATAATCTTATACCCCTATGTGATGGAGACTAATATAATCTTACACCCCTATTTGATGGAGACTAATATAATCTTATACCCCTATGTGATGGAGACTAATAGAATCTTACACTTCCATGTGATGGAGGCTAATATAATCTTACACCCCTATGTGATGGAGACTAATATAATTTTACACCCTTATGTGATGAAAGCTAATAGAATCTTACACTCCAATGTGCTGGAGGCTAATATAATCTAAAACCTCCATGTGATGAAGGCTTATAGAATCTTACACCCCCATGTGATGGAGGCTAATATAATCTAAAACCTCCATGTGATGAAGGCTTATAGAATCTTACACCCCCATGTGATGGAGGCTAATATAATCTAAAACCTCCATGTGATGAAGGCTTATAGAATCTTACACCCCCATGTGATGGAGGCTAATATAATCTAAAACCTCCATGTGATGAAGGCTTATAGAATCTTACACCCCCATGTGATGGAGGCTAATATAATCTAAAACCTCCATGTGATGAAGGCTTATAGAATCTTACACCCCCATGTGATGGAGGCTAATATAATCTAAAACCTCCATGTGATGAAGGCTTATAGAATCTTACACCCCCATGTGATGGAGGCTAATATAATCTAAAACCTCCATGTGATGAAGGCTTATAGAATCTTACACCCC